AGATTAATCAGAACTGGCTTTGACAAGCACTGTGGCAATTGGACAATTAAAACAGACATGGGGGGAAGAAGAATGAACTGGGGATGAGGGTGGAGAAAACAGGGCAACAATGAATGAATGAAAACCCAAATCTCTGTAAATGCTCATTAAAACTAAGAAAATTTAATAAAAAGGGGGGGGGAAGTTCATTACAACAAAGGAGGAGGAAGAAAAGACCAAGACAGATGTCAGAAGCACTCTGAGTCTTGCACTAGAGCACAGAGAAGCCAAAGCAAAGTGAAGAAAGTAGGAAGTGAAGGAGTTAAAGATTTTAAAGGCAATTTGGGAATACAAAGCAAAGTGTTATAACAAAATACAGAAAATCAAACAGTAAAACTCACTTGACTTTCCTTAAACTGGAGGAACTGAGGAACCAGATTAAGCCTCGAATTGTAATATTAAAGATGCTAAGGGAAGAATATTGAATGATACAGGATGTGACAAAAGAAGATGGAAAGAGAAAACTGTGTCACTATACCAAAAGTAATTGACTGACCCAGAAGAATTTCATGAAACAAAATATGACCAAGAGACAATGGTAATGAAGGAGTAATTTCAAGCTACTCTGAAGGAATTGGAGACATAAAAGGCCCCAGGAACTGATGGGATATCAACTGACATATTTCAACAAACAGATGTTCCCCTGGTTGTGCACAAGAAGTTGTGCCAAGAAATTTGAAGGACAACTACCTGGCCAAGTGACTGGAAGAGATCCATATTTGTTTCCATTCAAAAAAAAAAGTGACCCAACAAAGTGTGGAAATTATCAAACAATACCACTAATATCACAATCAAGAAAAATCCTGCTGAAGATTATCCAAAAACAATTAGAACCATTTATTTACAGAGAACTAAAAGAAATCCATACTAGTTTTATAAGAGGCCGTCAGAGACATTATTGCCACTGTCAGATGGATCTTGGCTGAAAACAAAGAGAATCAGAGGAATATCTATCTGTGTTTCACTGATCATGGAAAAACATTTGACCATGTTAATCAAAACAAATTGGCTAACCCCGAGAAGAATGGGAATACCAGAACTCTTGATTGTGCTTATGTAAAATCTTCACTTGGGCCAGAAAGCATTCTTCAGAACAGAACAAGGAAACACTCATGGTTCAAAATCAGGAACGAAGTGCATTCTTTCTCTATACCTTTTCAATCTATATGAAGAACAGATCATTTGAGAGGCTGGACTTTATAAGGAAGAATGTGACATTAGGATTGGTGGAAGACTCA